TCGTTATTTGAGACTGCTAACATTCAACAGGTCTAAAATCAGTAGGCAAGTTGAATAGGTCTTTGACACTTTGGTCCTAGTTCAATACTATATACTCTCTTCTCACCTAGATATCATGTTTTAAGGTTTCTCTCTTAAATACCTGAAACAGTTATTTGAGATGTGCACTTATTTGTTCTGCTTGTGGAGGTAAAATGTGAGCCTTTAATCGTTCCCCCCTTTAAATGCATTCCTAATTGTTTTGGTTGACGCTTAGAATTTTCTCCTTTAAACACCTTAGGATGGTCTAGAACTACCTAAATTAGGGGTCCTAAATACCTCCAGGTCCATAAGGAAGGGACGGGTAGAGTACGCATAGGATATCTTTCAAGTTTACTAGAATACTTTAGGCTATGACTAAGGGGAGGGAATTGGGTAGTAAGGATATGATGACTACGCGCTAATGTCACGTGTAGCCCCTCATCAAGGAGTGATTACCGGGCATTATGTGGGTATGATCCTGTAGGCTAACCAACCTAGGACCCCCTTTCCCAACTCCCGTTGTTTAAATGAATTTATTTTTTTCTTTATATATGTGCAACTTATTCAAACCTTTTCCCTTGTTTCATTACTTGAATTATATATGTGCTTAAAATGTCAAAACATGCCTTTACTTGCAAATACGTGTTAAAATTGTTTACTTGTTCAAATGACTGATTCATATAAGTTCGGCCGGGACCCACTGTTGTGGACCGCGAGGGGTACCTAACAACTTTCCCTCGAGGTTATTTCGAGCCCTTACCCTAATCTCTGGTAATGCAAACTAGTCCATGAATTAATTTCTCAAGGTGCCCTAACGCACCATAATCCGTTAGGTGGCGACTCTTCAAATACCCAATTCCCAAAAGGAAAAGAGTTGTTCCCCAATGAAATGTCGAAACCCGGACGTTCTCCGTGAGGAGGAAAAAAGGGAGCGCGACAACCTTACTTAATCACTCTACCAAATGGCTATAAAGTAAAAGTTGTATCTACTGGATCTTTACAACTTAGATCTGATATTGTGTTACATAATGTTCTGCTTGTCCCATCTTTTCAATTCAACTTAATTTCAATATGTCAGCTTCTTTTACAACTTCAATGTATCGCAGTTCTCACTACTTCCCATTGCTTCTTACAGGGCCCTTCTCTGAAGAGGCCACTGGGAATTGGTAAGGCTGACAATGAATTGTATTTTCTTCATCTTGGTGATAGCCCTTTAGTTTCCTCTTTTCCAATTGATGTTTCATGTAATGCTTCATCTTCTGTTCCTAATGTTTCTCCTGTTTTCAATTCTGTCAACCCCCTTCCCATTAGTCCCCCATATAATCCATCTCTTGATATTAATAAAACATATTTGTTTTGGCATCAAAGAATGGGTCACATGCCTTACAACAAAATGAAATCTATTCCTTTTATTTCTTCACAAATCTCTTCTAAACAATCATTTCTACGTCCTATATGTCATATGGCAAGGCAACAAAGGTTGCCATTCCCTGATAGCACTACAATCTACTGCTCTTTTCCAATTGGTCAACACTGACATTTGGGGACCTTATAACACTACTACATATAATGGTTTTACATATTTCATTACCTTAGTGGATGACTACTCTAGGGTAACCTGGACCCACTTACTTTCTAGCAAAAGTAATGCTCTGTCTGTACTCAAAGCTTTCACCTCTATCGTATAGAATCATTTCCACACTTCAGTTCAACCTTCAGGTCTGATAATGCTTTTGAACTAGGCTCTAGTCTAGAGTCCAGATCCTTCTTTTCTTCTCAAGGAATTTGCACCAGACCACTATTGCCCACACACCACAACAGAATGGTGTTGTGGAAAGGAAACACAAACACCTCTTAGAAACTTCCAGAGCATTATTATTTCAATCCAACTTGCCTACTAAATTCTGGGGTGAATGTGTCCTTACAGCCACATATCTCATCAATAGGTTTTCTTCTACTGTCCTTAACAACATATCCCCTTTTGAGAAACTACATGGACATTCACCTTCTTATGATCATCTTAGATCATTTGGATGCCTTTGTTTCGCTTCAACTCCTAAACATAGTAGAGACAAATTTCAGTCTAGAGCAATCCCTTCCATTTTCCTTGGCTATCCTTGTGGGAAGAAATGATACAAATTACTTAATATGTCCTCTCAATCTATCTTCTACTCTAGAGATGTTGTTTTTCATGAGCATATTTTTCCCTTCTCCACTAATTCTTCTACCATTTCCCTTCCTTCACCTTCCAGCTTTGTTGATATTCCTCATCACCACACTCCACTTGTTTCTTCTCATCCTATTTTTCCTCATGTTCCTCCTAATTCTACATCCTCCCCTGTTTCTTTTCCTCCTGATGTTTCCTCTCCTTCTCCTCCTACTGATGTTCCAGACTCTTTACCACCTTCTATTTCTGCCCCATCTCCCTCCAATCTTCCTCCATCTGATCCTCCTCTTAGAAGATCCCTTAGAGTACCCACATCCACCTCTTCATCTAGCAGACTATGTCTGTTCTGCCCCTGTATCTACTGTTCCTCATATGTCCTCCACAGAATTACACTTGCATGAGCCTCAATACTATCAACAGGATGCTTCTAATCTTGCTTGGCAGGAGGCCATACTAAAAGAATTTCAAGCATTAGAAGCTAACAACACCTGGGATATTGTACCTCTTCCCCCCTAACAAAACGGCTATCCCTTGCAAGTGGGTGTACAAAATAAAATAGAAATCTGACGGTTCTGTTGAGAGGTACAAGGCAAGGTTAGTCATTAGGGGTGATACTCAGAAGGAGGGAATTGATTACAATGAAACATTCTCCCCGGTTGACAAATTTACTACTATCAAGTGTCTTCTTTCCCTTGCTATAAAGAGGAACTGGATTGTCTATCAACTTGATGTAAATAATGCCTTCCTCCATGGTGACCTCCATGAAGAAGTTTACATGAAGATTCCACCTCGGATGCAGGTTTCTCCTACTGGTTCTTCTTCTTTCCCTTTGGTATGCAAGCTCAAAATATCTTTGTATGGCCTCAAGCAAGCATCCAGATAATGGTTTTCTAAATTGTCTGAAGCTTTGTCTACAAGAGGATACATTTCTAGCATGAATGACTACACCATGTTTACAAAGTCTACTCCTACTTCTCTTACTGTACTAGCTGCGTATGTTCATGATATCTTACTAGCTGGGGATGATGTTGTTGAATTGGATAGTGTTAAGTTATTTCTTGACCAACAATTCAAAATAAGGATTTGGGGACAGTCCATTATTTCCTTGGTTTGAAAGTCACTAAATGTCCTGAAGGCTACATCATCAGCCAACAGAAGTTCACACAGGACTTGCTGGCAGAATTCCACTGTCATAATTTTTCCCCTGTTGTGACTCCTCTTGATACTTCTATCAAGTTGTCTGCTGATCCTAGCACCTATCGGAGAATTATTGGCAAACTCAATTTTATCCAACACACAAGGCCAGATATATCCTTTTGTGTTCAACATTTAAGTCAGTTCCTTCAAGCTCCTCAAGTTCCTCATATGCTTGCTGCACTCCATGCCCTGAGGTATCTGTCCAATGCTCCTGTTTTAGGGATTCTTCTTTCTTCCTCTTTTGATACCTCTATCAAGGCCTACTCTGACTCTGATTGGGCTGCCTGTGCTGAGTCAAGAAGGTCTGTTTCTGGTTTTTATATTACACTTGGTTAAAGCAAGAAGCAACCCACTGTTCCACTGTCTTCTGCTGAAGTAGAATACAGGGCTCTCAGAAAAGTGGTTGCCGAGGTGTCTTGGTTGGTCAGGATACTAGATGATCTTGGTTTACATGTTTCTGCTCCTGTTCCCATCTATTGTGACAGTCTTGCTGCTTTACACATTGCTAAGAATCCGGTCTTCCATGAAAGGACAAAGCATATCGAAATTGATTGCCACTATGTACATGAGAGTCTCAATTCAGGGCTGATATCTCTGCATTTTGTCCCCGGTTCTGCCCAGCTTGCTGATATTATGACCAAGCCACTTCCTGGGCCACTTCATCATTCTTTGCTTGGCAAGCTTGGTGTGCTATCACCCCCAAGCTTGGGGGGGGAGGGTGTTGACATACACACAGGCCCAGACGTACAAACAGGCCCAGCTAAGCCCAATAGCTAGTATTTCAGCTTTGTATTATTTAGTGAGATAGCCTTCTTTACATTTGCTTTACATAGCCATTTTATGTAAGTATATATACTGTGGACTATTCTAGAAAAGACAGACTATTCATTTCTAATAAAAGACTAGATATTTTTCTTATCATCTTCTCTCTCTCGTTCTCTGAAGTTTTAGGTATTTCCACCATGGAAATTCCCCTTCAGCTTCCGCAAATTCTTATATCAACAGATGGAGGGAATATTGTGGTGAGCCAACTCTCTTTGACTGAAGACCTTTTATCTTGCTGAGTAATTGGTTCTTTTCAGGAAGTTTTGAGAGGATTCGATGAGGCCACAAACTTGATTCTTGATGAATCTCATGAAAGAGTATATTCAACAAAGGTACGCTTACTTTCCAGCTCATTGATATTTGCGAGAATTTGTTGAGTCATTACATAGCAGTCTAGTTTGTTGTACTAACTTCGCTCTAGTTTTGTTGCATTGCTAGGAGTTCCTTCATATTTGAATGCTTGAAAATATTTGCTGCCACTTGTTATTTATATAGTTCGCCAAAAACAAGGATGCTCTAATAGGTTCTGTTGGGGAATTAGATGAAGAGCAGGATGCTAACTTGGATATGTCAAAACTAAGAGCGCATATGACGTGCATGTAATCCTAAGAATGGGGTGGATCAAATGTCAGTTTAGTTGAGGAACTTTAGTCCCTTATAAGAGGTTAAAGATGGTCGAAAAGTACTGCATGCAAATTATGCATCACTCTGTACTCTCCTCCATTTCTCTTTAAACTACTCACAACAAAAGCACCAATGATTGAAGGCTATTCTTAAACAAGATTTGATCTTTTGTGAAATATGTAAATTCAAGAGGAAACACTAGCGCAGTCCACAGTATAAAATATTATGCTACACAATATTACCCTCATTTTACTCTAATGGAATAAGTCTTCAAAATACCAAGTAGCGCTAAACTGCAGAATAATGCGTCCACAGTATAAATATTATGCTACACAATATCACCCTCATTTTAGTCTAATGGAATAAGTCTTCAAAAAACCAAGTATAGTATCAACATTAACAGCCTCTTTTCCACTTAGCCAACTCAGATCATATGATCTGTGAACAGGTCACCCAGATAAAAGATGCCTTCATCGCGAACGCTGGTGTTTGAGTTGGGGCATACTCCAACACCAAAGTTAGATGAGGGTGCAATGGAAGGTAATTGCTGAGAGTCAATGGTTAAACCTCCGCCTGGAGCAGCCACCCTGTTCTCAGGTGCATTATTAGAACCGAAGCTACCAACTGTATAACTGGACATTCCACTGTGAGCATTAACTGTATAACTGGACATTCCACTGTGAGCATCAACTGTATAACTGGACATTCCACTGTGAGCAGCAACTGTATAACTGGACATTCCACTGCGAGCATCAACTGTATAACTGGACATTCCACTGTGAGCAGCAACTGTATAACTGGACATTCCACTGTGAGCAGCAACTGTATAACTGGACATTCCACTATGAGCAGTGCTGGACAGCATTGCATGAGATGATGGTGTTTTTCCAACGTCAAAAATAGAACTGATTTCGTTGTCTTCGACCATATGCTCAGTGATTAACGCTTCTAGTTCACTCCCAATTCTAGTGACAGGATGACAGTACATTTCATTGCCAGCAGCAGTAGATGGTTGTTGGCTGGGTAATAGGGATCTATCAGTGTCAACCTGAATCCCAGCTTCATAAGTGCCCTCCTGCTCCATGATTAGTTCATCTATACCTAATATGAAGTCATCATTCACATTATGGTACAGACGATTCACTTCATTGACAAAGGCAGCACCAGGGCCTGAGGACTCTCCTCCAGAAACTGCTATCACCGGCTCAGCAATTGTGATTTCTTGGGGCAACACGCTCTTATTTTCTATGGCAGCAACTGGGGAGGTAAACGTGCCAACACCAGTTGATACCACCCTGCTGTCAACAGCTCCAGTCATATCGTTAGTGCTTGCCGTCACTTGTGATCCTCCTCCAGCAGGTCCAATCATGTTCTCGGGGTTTGGTACTTGGGAAGTTCCAGCAGTTTCAGTATCCACACTAGTTATGTCGTGAATGCTTGCTCTTCTCCTCTCTTTGTTGACGCCTTCGCGGCGATTGAAAAACTTTTGGGCATGGCTAGCCACCTGTTGTGGTGTTCTAGATAGCACACAGTGCCTGGATATACTTTTCCAATCACCCTTTCCATATTTATCTAACCCCTTAAGAAACAACCTATAGCAGGAAAGAGAGAAAGAAGTTATCAGCTTTGCATTAATCCAGGAAACAAAATTGCAAGACAGTCTTAAAAGTTTGACATTCTTTAAATCAGCAAAAAGCGCAATACATCTTATAAATTCCAGTAAAGAATAGGTATGATTCCATAGGCATACTTACTGCCATCTGCATGCACTGTATAACATCATAGATAACAATAATCAAAACTAACAACATCTCTCTCCCTACTGCCCACCCCTAAATAAAATCACAATTCGTTTTTTTTTTTCTTTTTTTGACCGAGAAAGAGCAAGGGACCTAGAAACAGGGGATAACAAAGGTCATCCGGAGGATATATGATTTCAACATTTGCTTAATTTTCCCTGCCCACTTGCTTTCGCCTCGTCTCTATATGCACTCACTTCAACTACATCTGTCATTTGGCTTTACAAAATTGAAATAGGCTATTCTTAGGAGTGATGTGTGATTTCTTACTCAAAAAGCAAAAAGATAAAGATAAGAAAACAAGAAGATAACAAACAAGACATGTCCATAAAAATACTTTATACCAATAATCAAATAGACCAATATTTTTCAACATTCTTAGTAATGGTGCTTTTATCTAGTGGTGGGGGGGGGGTGGGGGGGTTGAGGTTGGCAGCTTAGTTACCGCGTTGAGGAAAACTAGGGTCCAGGTCCAGTAAATTCTTTCTGATTAAAGCCCAAGCACCCAAAGATTTTTTTTTTCAAAAAAAAAAAGAGAGAGAGAAGAAAAGAAAACACAAACTAGAACATTATTCCAAAACATGTTTTTCCCTACTCTATTTCCTTGGATCATGTAATTTCTTTGCAGCATGCTACTCGTACGAGATATTCAAAATTCAAGAGGTGCTAAGAGAGTATTAGCACATTGAACAGACTACAAAAAAAAGATTTTTACTAATTAAAAGATTTAGTCTAATTGGGTTAAATACATGTATTTTTCACATCACTGTTTGTCAAGCAACAAATTCCTCAAGTAATTCCAGCATAAGCCAGAGCCAGACTGAAACCTTTATGATGTGTTCATTAGCTTGTCCATCTGCAGCAAGGCATTCATCTGGTTATAAGCACCAAATACATATTCAAAGGTGCAACTTATGTTGCAAGATCTATATGGAGTAGTACTCCACTCATTGAAGAAAAGGATAAAAAATTTACTTATTTTTAAAAAGGGATAAACACTCAAAATGAAAAATAAGTACTTTATACAGAAATTTCTTAGGGGGAAACCTTAAAAAGAAGAAAATGAATGAATTCCAAAAAAAATAAAAATAAAGACAAAGCATTTATTTTTTATGAAAAATTATGTTTATTTCATTTTTCCCCCACAATATCACACATAAAAAATATTTTACCATTTTCTTTTTTTTCTTAAGTGGCTTTCACTAAAGTTACAGATAGCTCATGGTTCTTTTGTTAATTATCGATGCAAAACGTTAAGCTCAACAAACAAGAAACAAGCATTTTGTAGCAGACATACATGTCCTGAAGGGACTTTTAAAATTCTTTTCAGGGAAAATAAGAAATTCAATAAGCTATCAGGCAGGACATAACCATAGAAATGCAATAATCACCCGTTTAGATGATTAGAAGCACACCGACATGGTCCTTGAGGAATGTAAGGAAATTTTGAAATCCTTTCTGGTAAAAAGTGAAAGTCATGCAATCAATTAGCAAGACATGATTATAGTATCCAGTAAACATCAATTCAGATGATTAATTTTGTCCTTAAGAAATGTACAGGAAACGCACTTGTGTTCCTCTTCTGTCCAAGCGACCCCTTTTCGCCGTTCTACATCTGCTTTTGGTAATCTACTTTTATTGCGGGAATGGCTTTGCATATTCCGATATCGAGGTAAAGGAACAAGTCCAGACTCAATCGCATTCACATCCTCAACTAATACCTCATAGTGATTTTTTATATCTTCAAGTGATTTCCCCGGAAGTGCTGCTGCCATCATCATCAATAGATCATCATCACTAGAGTAGACCGCCAGGGTATTCTCAAAGATTTTATCCTCCTCCTTAGTCCAGAAGGAGCCATTGCATGTCCGATCGGTGCTCATTTTTTTTTAGATCTACAAGGAAAGGGTCAAGTATGAAAAGGAAAGTTTTTCAAAAGCATTCCGGAAACGGATGAATTCAATAGATGACAAAAACCACCATAAATATCTGGCATCTAAATAAGATTTTATGTAACCCCTGACACTTGGTAAACAGAAAGAACGGCAGCAAGACATGTATTCTTTAAATCAGTTATAGATTCTAAGAGTAGTAATGAGCGACTGGTAAAAGAAACAGATAGGTGGCATGCCAAAACAGAACGACCACTCGAACCACATAATTTTCGAGATGTTAAGGTGCACATGAACATGTAGGAAAAACAACCAAAGTTATCTGAAATACAACAACAACGACCCAGTAAAATCCCACAAGTGGGGTCTGGGGAGGGTAGTGTGTACGCAGACCTTACCTCTACCCCAAGGGAGTAGAGAGGCTGTTTCCGCAAAGTTATCGGAAATACAAAATATAAATTGATGAGGCCTGTGGCAGAAAAAGCAAAAATGATGTTTCTAATAGAATTTCTATGGTGAAAGGCATCTGATAATAGTCATACTGTAATCTACTATATAGGTACTACATATTTATTAGAGTGTTTTCAACCAGGTACAGCCAAAGAGGAAGTAAATGGTAGATCTAATTAAGGAAATAGCATAGTGACAGTTAAGATTTGTACAGAGAGCTATTCTGACAGCTAAATAATAAGGAGCAAGTTGACAAGATAACTTCACCAGTAGTATATATGGGACCAACAGAAGATACTTGTGGTATATCACCCATAAAAGTCGCTAGAGACATGAAGCACTAAGAAATCACCTTATATATTTTTACCTTTTCTGTCAGCTGATAGGTTTTATACTAAGAAGGAAGAGTGCAAAGAAGAAAACTAATTGTTTCAAACTAAGCAAAAATTATATCACCAAGGAATATATTTGTTCTTGTTAGTGACGTCAAAGAAGATTTAAGGCCTTGTCCACATACAAGGAAAGAAAACCTGCCAATCCAACACGCTATCAAAAGAAATCGATCCTCAAAATGTTCTAGGAGAACATTCACACTAGATACAACATAACAAAACCTAACATTACAATCAAAGCCGGCCTTTGAAGAACTAGCAACTCATTGTGTGATTATGAAGGGTCAAAAGATTCTTCAAGTAATTCAAACTATTTTGACAAAAATCCCGTAAAGAAGAACATAGGTACAAACAGTGGCGAAGTCAAAATTTTTATTAAGGGGTGTCAAAATATAAAAAAATAAAATATACGAAGAAAATAAGGGAAGCAACATATAGTATAAATGCATTAAAAAAAATCCTAGCTAAGCAGTGTAATTTTCTGGAGGAGAAGGGGTGCCTATTGACACCCCTTAACATAAGGTGGCTCCGCCACTGGGTACAAACATGACGGGTCCATCACTATTTCTATACATGATACACCAACTAGGAATCATGAAATCATTGAGCAATTTCAAACACAAAAATGTAATAATGACAGGCATATTATGATAAATGCTAATTATATTGCTTAACTTCCAGTAGATCCTTGACCTAACAATTGAAAGATGGTAAAAGGATAAATTCAGAAACCCAGACTAGTGAGTTATCCAAGCTCTTAATTTTCAATGACATACTCGTGTCAATGGCTATGTCAAAGATATGGGTGTTTTGTAAGGAACTTCCAAAGTACTCTAAACTTACTAGAGTTGAGCATCTCTGTGTAAGATTCACACGTGAGTTTTAACATTTATATGCTCGAGTTAACGAATTAGTCTAGGACTGAAATATGAGTGTCTTGGCAGTTGGATCGGTTCAAGTGGTCAAGAGAAACTAAAAGGGTTATTAGGTAATCCACTAGTCTTTTACTCAAGTTCTGAAAGAAGTAAAAGTTCCAAGAGAGAAAAATGAGGTGTAAGATGGCACCATTGTGAAGTTGAGAAAATTGATTATCTTGGGGGTAAGTATCAAAGAGGGGTTGATGTTTCAACTTCAGTCCTGACCCGGCTTCAGCTTGCAGAAGGTGGTATTAAGACCAAGCTCATAAATTCTCTCACTGTTAGAACTAAATTAACCTTTAAGACAATCTCATGATAAGCATAAGCTGGTTTCTTATACTGGTTACAGTATTCCTAATTTTACTTTATACTAAGCTTCATAAAAAGAAACTAATCTATAGTAACTAAGTCGAAGAAATGAACATTTTTCCCATCTTGGAAGGGGTTGATATGTCGGAAAGCGAGTATCACTGTCAACGCTATTAATAAAGGCAAAGCGCTTATTTGATATTTTAATGAATGATCCTGACAATTGTCGATGTTCTAGCACTATAGGTCTATGCATTTCAACGGTCGTTAAGATTCTCTTATAGCAAAAAAAATTATTGTAGAGAAGTGCTTTCTATTGTATACTTTCAGTAAACAATTTTATACCCTTCGATTACGCGGAACAGTGGAAGTTTCAATATGATTGTCTTGTATAATATAAAGACAATACACTAAATTAGCAATCTCTTATAACCATATGTTGCTAATATATATTGTTTGATAATCTTGTTATCTTTGAGTCTTTATAGCAACTCCGTCACAATAATAAAAGATATTCTCCTCTTCTCATAGCCTTGAAAGGGGCTCGACATATAAGTGAGTTCCAGTAGTGCTAGTGTCAATTAGGGCAAAGCACTCAACTGTTATTCATTTAATGATCTCTCAGAATTCAAAATATTTTGGTATTACATGCCTATGCATTTCAATATCTGTTGAGAATTCTTTGTAGTCAATCAACTATGCCTCAATCGCAAATAAGTTTGGGTCTATATGATTCCTCCTTATCAATTCCACTCTTAAGTCCACTTCCATTGGATACCAAATCATTCGACTTTTGAAGCACAATAAGAGTTTCTCTAGATGTCAAACTATCCTTGTAAGAACATAAAAGTCTCTAAGCATTAAGAAAAACTCCTGATGGCTACTGAATCTAATGCAAGTATAACTATAACTAAACTTTTAGCCTAACTAGTTGATAGCATCTATACGGATGATTTGCTTCTATTATGTTCTGTTATTACCTAAATCTGAAATGGTAGGTCTTTTGAGACAACTTCCATCCATATGATTTTAGGTTTTAGTAGTCTCATTTGTCTTCCTCTCATTATTGCATTGTCGCAACAAGAATATAGCCAAACCCATCTCAAACGATGTTTTCGCATTTTATCCTCTACTTGCATTTACACCTTCTGTACTTACCCCTCTATGTCAGGCATGATCATTTCTAAATTTGTCTATTCAGAATTCTTCCATAAAAATGCTTAGATAAATGAGAAAAGTAAGTTTTATTTTCTATTTATAAGTTTTAGTCATAAATGAAACTATCTAGAACAATGGTCACATTATGCCACCTACAACTATCCAAAGCCTCATTACCAGATGCGAATGTTAAAAGTCTATTGCATGGATAAATCACGCATACGAGTTAAGATTCCTTCACTACAGCTGTAACCTTACAACTTGAATTTGAAGCAAGATAAATATAAATTTTGGATTTTCAAAAGGTACAATTTGTACCAAATGCTCTTGTTCATGGAACATAAATGGCAATAATTCACTACTTAAACAAAAATAAAACTCACAAGGAGTGGGCTTCTTTTGCATGATATTGGTACAGATTTAATTGTAATATATAAATGAGTTTTACATAAATTATAGTACTCCCTCCTAAATTATATGTTTCCTACTTAACAAGGCACCAATTTAGAGTAAGAGCTTAAATTATCACTATATATTAATAGAAGTTAGTGAAAAAAATAATGATCAAGTAAGTTTTTAAAAATTGTGAACTTATTTAATACAAAACCGGGTTAACAGTGCCTTGTTAACAATCAAATATCAATCAAATATTACAAAAGCATTAAAAAGCTTATGGAGAAAACTTTTCGTTTAAAGAATAGAAGTTCGAGAGGACACAATTCCAAAATTTGATACTATGAAAATAGTAATTAAAAAGTTAACCTTACAATCTCATTTGGGGGAAATAGTTGCTAAAATTTGGTATTACAAGCTGCTAGACTGATGAGTTTCACAAGGCCCAAAATAATCCGTATTTAACTAGGGATAGCATGCCGGGGTAACAGGAAAGATAAACACAATACATTTACAGATGTAGGAGCATAACTCTATGTAATACCTGAAAAGCTTTTTCTCTCCTGAAAAAGTTGAAATTTAACAAGACAAAAGTAAAAAAAATCAAATAGGAGAGTATACAGTCTCCTGTATCTTTTTATTATTATACACTTGAATAGAAAATGATTGTGCCATTTTAAACAGAACATTTTACATAAATGGAAAAGGAAAAAATCCGGGTTCCCTTACAACACAATCTACCCGCTTAAGACTAACGAACTTAACGACAAATTATATCCATGACAAGAATTCAAAAGGAAAGCTTTACATCCTATATTTCCCTTCTGAGAACCATTCATATCTCTTTCCTCTCTAAATAAAGGGTAGAAAACTCAACAAGATGAATCTCATGATACTCAAACAGGTGAGTATCACTTCGTCTCTTAAGAATCTACCCCTAAAACCACTAGATAAATCAATCATTCTGAAATTGATCATACGTTCTCTTGTATCTACTGGAGTATTACTTTTACACATAGCAAAATAGTACAATGTTGTTCATTTGTATGGATTATGTTTAATAGATCAAAATGGAAATATCCTAATTCCTTGACAACACAATCCTAACCATTTAAAATTAAGGAACATGGAAGGGATAGATTATATTTTTATACATGCCAAGATTTCTTTTTTCTTTTCGTAATGGTGGTCTGGGCCGGCTTGCGCACACCTCGACTATTCCACCAGGTACCTCCCACCACTACATGTACCGTGTAACTCTATCCACCAGGCTTGGACAGATGGGAAGAAATCTATCCATGCCAAGAAATCAAAAGAAAAAATCCTTACTTTGCCCTTCAAAGAACCAATCATATCTCTACTGCTGTACATATCAACTTTCATAAACGCAAACGCATGTTAAGCACATTTCGCATTAATAAAAATTCACAAAGCATAATTCAGCATAATTCTGAGTGTATCAACTGGAGTGATAAGCTGTGTCACTTATTTATACAACCAGAAGGGAGACACACACGCATATAATAAAAATAATTGAGAAGAAATCTTATAGATGCTGGGCAAAGAGATGATTTTGCACACCTGGGATTTGAACCTTACAATGAATCTAAAAATTTCTTGATACTGGTTAGAAATTTTTCTAAGGAGGCATTTCATCAGTATTTAAGAAAATTAAAAAATGGTCAAGATTACCATAATCTGAAATTTTAAACATTTATTGTAATACCACAAAAATCTAAAATATGCCGAGCTGTAATTACCTGAATTGCCAAAACTCAAAACCCGACATATTTTGAAATAATCAGTAGATTCATCTCCCGTTTTTGGATTCTCCATTGAGGAGCAATCGAAGATCATATTCTGCGTTTGGGAAGGGTTTTGAGTTATTGCCATTGGTTTTAAGCTTCAAGCAAAGTGACGGACATAATTATCTATAGTCGTAAGAGAGAGCTGAAAAAGGAAGTGATCAAAAGGAAGAGATGGATTTGAAGCTTCGTCTTTAAATCGCTAATACTTTATTCTTTTCTCATATTCTATTTTGGATAGAATAATTCATAGTTTCACATATAATTTAATAGTTAAAATAACACGGGCTAGCCAGTTTTCGGACTGGTAATTCAAAAATAACCAGCATTTGCAAAGTCAATGATAAATAGTATTTTGCTGCAACCGGGACCGGTCCAGCATAATATACTGGAGATCGGTGCACCTCTGTATGAACTTACAGTATATTATGCTGGAACTCTAACACACGAAAAGTTCCAGCATAATATACTGGAGATTGGAGCACATGTGTATGAACTTTCAGCATATTATGCTCGACCGGTGTATTATACTGGAACTCCAGTATATTATGTTGGAGTTCCAGTATACTTATGCTGGAACTCCATTATAATATACTGGAGTTCCAGTATACTTATGTTGAAACTCCAATATAATATACTGGAGTTCCAATATATTATACTGGAATTCCAGCATATTATGCTGGAGTATTTTCCGGATTTTGAACAGTGTTTTCGTTCAGATTTATCTTTACATGAAAAGTTGCTAAATTTTGATTACTTTTGAAACTGTGACTATTTTGAATGACCACTTGTAAATCTAGCTATTTTTGAATTTCTTCCAATTTAATACGGTATTTTTAACTCTATTATTTTGGTGATAAACAAGACACGACACATGTACAGCTTGGACACGACCCTTGATAAGAGAATATGAAAGTCGATAATAAGGGTAAAAGGTTAGTAGGTAGTCGAGCTTTCTCTTTCTCTTACTTGTAGTATCATTATTATTCGCATATTTTATTACACTTACTATATGTTGTCTCTTTTGCTTAGATTTTCTTATATCATGATGTTGTTACTACTTTTCTATGGCTTTCCCGTTACTGTGAGCACGTAAGTTTTGCCCGACTAAAATACTCCTTACAAAATTCACAAATAGATTTTTCCTTAATTATTTTTAATTTTTATAGAATTTGTAGGAATTTTTGTTAATTAATTGTTTGCATTTAGTTGCATTTCTTATGCATTTTTAACATTTTAAAATAATAAAAAAAATACCAAAAAAACGTCTGAATCTTCATTACATAGCATTTTTAGGTATTAATTGTATTTAGAATCTAATTGCATTAGTTAAATGCATTATTAAACAAAAAAAATCACAAAAATACATTTGGCCATTATTACATTTTAGGATTTCTAGGTTTGAATTAGCTAGTTTCTTTAATTCATAAATTGACTAATCAGATTGAAAATTGGATAGATGGTCTGATTTTGCAAGTTTAGGTTTAATTAGGCTAGTTGGACAATTCTAAAAATTAAAATAAAGGAAAAGAATCAATGAAGGAAAAGAATATAAGGCAATTTGTTTTATTCAAAAGTGATTTGGGCCATTTCCGTTTGGCCCATCTTAAATGTGACAAACACATTACCCAGCATTTAACCCGTCGGAGCCCAAGTCCACGTTGGCCCAGGTCCGTTGTGAGATGAAACGGCGCCGTTTTGACTTGGATCAATCGCAGCCCTCCATTATATCCAATCCAACGGCCATGAACTCCCCTACCCCATTACCTTATAACTGTCTGATGACAGACCCCTAACCCCCAAAAACTTCACATAACTCGTCTCTCTCTCACCCCTGTCTCACCACCATCCGCCGCCCGCCGAAATCGCCCCACGGCGGCGGACACACTCCAAACCACCTCAAAATTACACCACACATTCCCCATCTTCCCCTCAACCCTAATCTATCACTAATTTCCCCAAAATCCCCACTAATATTCTCCAATTTCAAATCTCAGAAACCTTAAAATCCAAATTTTTTCCTTTTTGATTTTTGTGAGCAAATTCACCTATTTTGACTAAAGACTTACATTGGTCAATTATTCTTAACAAGAAAAATTGGTTAATGTTGGTTTTGGGTCATTTCGAAGCTCATCGGATTCTGGCCGAGTCACCACAATTGTTGACTCACTTCCGGCCAAATTAGTATACTTTTCTTTTCCCTTTTCCCTTGTTTTTTTTTTCTGATTTTTCTTTTGGATTTTTAGTTAGGTGTTAAGTATTAATTAGTTCAATTAAAAAACAGATTTATTTAAGTCAATTGCATGATTTAGGATTAATATCATTTTGTTTATCATTCTCGTTTGGTTTTCTATTTTGACTGGATTGGTACCTGAATCCAGTCAAATTAATTTTTTGTTTGCATGCTTTAGTTAAGTGCATAATCAGTTAGTGTGTTTAATTACATAAGTTATCAATTAATTGTTAAATAGTTTGGTGGGCTAATATTTGTTCATATCAATGTTTTTTTTTTTTTTTGTCTTAATTGAAACTTGAGGGGGGTCTAAGGGAACTTAAAACTCAGGGCAAGGAAACAAGGAATTTGAGTTAAAATTTAGGGTAAGAAGGTTTAATTTCAGATGTTTAAAGGGGCTGGAAATAAGAAGAAGTTCTGGAATGGGACAGTTGTCCATTTCAGTTACACAAGATGCTATTTCCATGATTTTTAGGGAGCTGCAGAATATTCCCACGCCCCTCTCTCATTCCTTATCATGAGCACCTGCTCACATTCTATAAAGGGGGACTCTACACACCACACACACACATATTAACATTCAGGATATTCACCCTCAAAAGCACACAGAGTCTTAGGCAGAAAAAGAGTCACAACTGCTAGAAAATTGAGATTTTCTTTGAAACCTTAGTTTAATAGTTGTTAAAACACTCCAAAATTAGAGAGATATAAAAGATTAAAAGCTGCTTCTAGTCTCTTTGGATGCTTGCATTATTTCTGGGTTCAAAGTTTGATTTGGCTTGAATAAATTGCTGGTTTTATTGCTGCTGTTGTTTTTCTGTTGTTCATCTGGGGTTCAAACTGTCCGCTTGATCTCTGCTGCTGGTTTGTTTGAGCCCCTTTATTAGTTGTTCTTCCTTGGTCTTATTTAGGCAAAAATTCAGCTTCATTTGCAAATTTAGGTACACATCTCACTGCATTGTACTTTTGTTTGATTTGCAATGAAATGTTAGTTATTCCTTAAAATTATTTGTTGTGGTTGTGTTAAATTGACTACTTCTGTTGTAAACGTGATTGAATGTTAGTTTTAATATGCTTTAGACCTTAAACATGTTATGAATTTGCATGATTAAGGACAAATGGTCTCCTTAGCAATTTTGTGGCTGAAATTGTAGTTGATTTCACATGTTTAGTTAGATTTCAAGCTGTATATCTCATAGTCATGTATCGAAGTGCTAACTACTGGAAGTTTGAGCTCATTTTTATGTTTTGATAAATTAAGGTCTAATAATGGATTTGACGGTCAATAATTGTGGATCTAATCAATGACGGTCAATAACTGTGGTTTGAGTTGCAATTTAATAGCTTTACTCACATGTTATTCCACAGTTCTAATCAATGACATTCTCATAATTTATTTAAGTATGAGCTTCAGAATTGAACAGGTTTTCCGCCTGAATGATGGATAAGCTATGTCTGGTAGTGAAGCATGCAGGGCCGTTGATTTAGGTTTATCGTTAATACTAATAGTTTAGTAGTTAGCTTTCATTGTAATTTCAAGATCCTATTAAGTTGCTATTGAGAACATTTGATCGCTGTAAATATTGGGATTTTAAGTATATGATATGCTTAAAATAGGGTGAATAGGAAATGGAGGAAAATAAAATTTTAAGCCCCCCCCCCCCTTTGGCAATGGGACATTGTCCCATATTGAAAGAGGAAGAGATTTTTTATGGGTATATATGTAATTGCTCTTCTTCTAGCTCTTAAAGAGTTGAGAAGAAGGCAAGCCTCGCGCGGTCGTCGTCGTCGCTCGCTCAGCTCGGCTTCGGATTCGGATTCGGATTTGGTCAAATGATCAATTGCTCTTCTTCTAGCTCTTAAAGAGTTGAGAAGAAGGCAAGCATCGCGCCGTCGTCATCGTCGCTCGCTCGGCTCGGCTTCGGCTTCGGATTTGGATTCGGATTCAGATTTGGTCAAATGATCGATTGATTGATTAATTTTTTGGACCAAATTTATTTGTTAATAGTAAAATATTAACAGAAATGTCATTAAATATTTATTTTAATAACAGAATATTAATATTAAAATAAATATTAATATTAAATCCAATCCGTTTTTCGGTTGTGTAACTGAAAATTAAACTACCCTCTTCAATTTTTTCTCTTTATTTTCCCTCTTTATTGTTGAGTAAATAGCCATTTATGTTATGGCATTTATGCTGTGGCCGTTTTGCATAAACAGCCATTCTGAAGAGTTGCACCTGTTCAGATTTCAGCCCATCTTTGGCTATAAATACAAGACTATTCTGCTCAGAATTTCCATACGAATTTTCTGAGTTCTTCTCCTTTCTTCTGCATATTTTAACTTCAAAGAAAGCAACAGTAAGTGTGATTTGCTACCGAACTTTCTATTCGCTAAAACACTGGAGTTTGAAGTACCACTATACCAGTGTGTAATTCGTTCTATCCTGGGAGGAAATAATCCATAACTTTGGGTACTAAGAGGGGATTAAATACCTTAAGGAAACACTGTGAATTCAGTGGGCTCGAATTGGTTTTTGTTATTTCGTTTACATTTCTGTTTATGTTATTTTATTTTCTCCAGAATTATTTTACAAATACAGATTACTAACAAGCTTAAGGAATTTAATATATTTTCTATATTTGTACTCACTATTTTTGGAGAGTAAAACCTTTTTGGTTTTGTACTCTATTGGAGATTAAAATCTACGTGATTTTAACGCTTGTGTCATTCTTTACAGAAATGACTAATGATAATGTGAACCAAGTTGTTCCAATGGTGACTGCCAATGCCTCAACGAGCCGAACAACGGCAGCATTGACACCGGCGGAGAAACCCGAAAAATTTTCCGGGATTGATTTCAAGCGCTGGCAGCAAAAGATGTTCTTCTATTTGACTACTCTAAATCACCAGAAGTTCATCAAGGAAGATGTTCCTGTGCTGTCCAATGAAAC